CATTATTTTTAGGAAGAGCTTTTTTTTATATAAACTTTACGTAGATGGATTGATAAGAAGATATGTTCGGAAGATAAGATGTTAGATGTTCTTACACATTGCCATAATTCTCCTTATATCGGTCATTATGGTGCTAATAAAATAGGCTGCTAGAGTATTGACGTATGGTTTCTATTGGCCAACATTTTTTAGAGATGTCGAGAGAGTTTGCAATGTATTGTGATCGATGTCAAAAAGTTAGGAACATTACTAAGAGGGATGAAATGCCACTTTCGAGCATTCTTGAGGTAGAAGTGTTTGATGTGTGGGGGTTGGATTTCATGGGGCCATTCTCATATTCTTTTGGGAATAAATACATTTTGGTGGGATTTGACTATGTGTCAAAGTAGGTTGAGGCTTTGGCAAGTCCTACCAATGATGACAAGGTAGTCACTAAATGTTTTAAGATCTTTGTGAGATTTGGAGTGCTAAGGGTGATCATTAGTGATGGTGGATCACACTTTTGTAATCAAAGGTTGGAAGGTTTTTGAAGAAACATGGTGTACATCACAAGGTGGCAACTCCATACCAACCACAAACAAGCGATCAAGTTGAGGTCACGAATCGAGAATTGAAGAAGATTTTGGAGAACATGGTGAACAATTCAAGAAAGGATTGGACAAGTAAGCTAGATAATGCTTTGTGGGCTTATCGAATGGCATTCAAAATGCCAATTGGTATGACTCCATATAGAATTGTCTATGGGAAAGCTTGCCATCTTCCGGTAGAATTGGAGCATAAGGCTTTTTGGCAATCAAGACCTGAAATTTTGATTTCAAGAAAGTCTGGAGAAAGAAAACTCTTGCAACTAAATAAGCTTGAGGAGCCGAGGTTCAATGCTTATGAGAATGCTCGATTATATAAGGAAAAGACAAAAACGTGGCATGATGCTCACATTAAGAAGAAAAAGTTCGAAGTGGGTGACAAAGTTTTGTTGTTTAACAATAGGCTTAAGTTGTTCCCCGGAAAGTTGAGGTCAAGATGGAATAGGCCATTTGAAGTGGTTCAAGTTTTCACTCATGGAGCATTGATTGTAAAAAATGAAAAAGGAGAAAGTTTCAAAGTTAACGGGCATCGATACAAGCCATATTTTGGAGGGTTCTTCTCAGAGAAAGAGAAACACTTTCTTTAGAAAATTCAACTTGAACTCTAAAGACATGAGGGTCAAGCTAAACACCTTAAATTTAGCATGTTTTGAGTTTCAAATTGTTCTTAAAAAAAAAAATTTTGGAAATCTTGCACGTCCGTGCGATTGTGTCAAAACTTTTGGCAAAAGTTTCTATCGTAATCGTGCATACGAGTAAGCAAACGAGTTCGATTAATCAAAAAATCAAACAAAATCAAATCGAATTATGCAATTTGGTCCTATATTAAATTCAAAAATATGCAATTTATACTCGAATCGAAAAAATCAAAATTATTTTGGTTCGGTTCGTTTTTTTAAAAAATCGAGTTTAAACCGAAAACTCGAAATAGTTAAAATTTCCTAATCTAATTCTAAATCTCTATCCCTAATCGGCTAACCTAACTTCGGTCTCTCTTTGAACTCCTACGACTTTCGTTCACCAAAATCATCGACTCATCCGACATCTTATCGTCCGACCGACCATTGCCACTGGGTCCGATTCTCGTTACGTCTAGTGTCTTCTTCCCAAACCTCCATATCTTGATAAATGTTCCTGTTTAAGAAGTTATCCGAGTTTATCTTCCTAAACCTAATATCTTGGAGTACGGAGAAAGAACTAAAATGAGAAATAGGTTTCCGTAAGGTAGCAACATTGTTGGAGGATCCGATAAAGAAAATAAGAGGTCGTGCGATGATCGATAATGGATTCGCCACCCAACTTAAGAGACATAGGGTAGCCATTAACGACCCTCTTTGGAGCGCTCTCTGTTTGATCAAATATCCCGACCTTATCAAACGGGTCTCTCTCTTGCTTTCTCTATCTCTTAACATACTCATTGTCTTATTTGGAGGTAATTACTTGAGTTTGGTTTCAAAAACATAAAAATAATTTTTTTGAAGATTTTAGATTGCGTATTTTCACACGTTATCCGCAGGTCAACTAGTGAATGTTGTGATCCCACGTCTTAGACCGGATGGTGAAAATGCGCGAGGAGTTGGGAAGGTCACTTTGTGTTACGAGTCTCGCTTCATCCGCCTCCATGTTTTTGGAAACTTATCATTTTTTGAGGCCGTAATTATCGACCACAACCTTAGGTGATTTTACGGGTGTTCTTGGAGTATGCGGACGCTAAAGGTTCTTTAAAAGCTCGAGAGGGGATGAACGGGAGGAGATCAAGTTGTGGCTGTTTTTTTTTCCAAGAACAAATTGTTTGAGGGAGAATATGATGACTAATTAGTTCTAGAGCCTTTCATCCACCACTTGGGATTTCCATCATTATGATTAGAATATTGGTTATGGTTTTAATTATAGCTTAGAATTCTCTTACTTTTTGGCTTTTGGGTGTTCGATTAAATGCCTTGTTGAAGTCCTATGAGCGGATGTCGAGTCAAAATTTGAACTAGTTCTCTTATGAATGGCTATATTGTTCGACTACTTGCATCCAGTAAGTTTTTATTTTTATTTGTTTCCTACTCTTAATTATTTGCTTGTGAAAAAAAAATTGGAATAAATTTAAACATTTCATTTTTAATTATCTCCTCTTTTATCTTATCTAGATTCATTTTATATTTATAGGCCACTCTTCGTCAATTTTTGTCTAGGGGATTATCCATCGAAGAAGGAGAATTGTTATTGAAGAAAAGTGTTACATTGGTTGTTGAAGCCCGTGATAAGTTCCGTGATGCTTGTGAAAAGTGATCCTGAGACGAGTCATAACCGAGCTTTGTTAACGACCTCCATTGAAAGCTATGGAGCTTATCTTACCGATGGCTCGAGTACAAGTGCCCTTAAAAAAATACTTAATTCTCTAAAGCTTTTTGGATCATACGGATTAGAATTGATAAGTTCACATTTTCAATGTCATGGTGTATTAACCTTTTTTGATTTTGTATGTCTTGTTTGCTTCCAATGGGTGTTATGGACCATATGTGAATCTAATTGTTAATTTGTCGCACTCCTATTTGTTATCTCTTCCTTGATAGAAGCATGAAACTCGTAACATAATAACTTTATGATGTACTTGCTTGAAGTCTAATTGAGTTTATGGATATGCCTTACAACTTATCATGAAGGTTTGGTTTGAATGCACAACTATCCTCAATTTTGTTTTATCAGTCCATACTTTGCTGAAATATAGCGGGGCAATTGTCCGTCTAATGATTTGTATGATATTTGATTGTGGTGCTTTGATAAGAAAAATGTTTGTGTTATACGGGAATATGTTATTGAAGGGATCCTAGCTATGATAATAATTAACAAACCAAGGGAGTTTCAGCTCATGAATGCACTCACCGCATAATTGAATATGTAGGTACATTACATCTTGTTCTCTCGCCCATGGTGATTATGCTCGGACAAGTATATTTTTTAAAAAGCTCGATTTTTTTAGCAAGAAGTTCGATTAAACCGAATTATTTTGAAACCAAACCGAAATAATTCGATTTCAAATGGAATTAACCGAATTAATTTTGATTCAGTTTCGGTTTTCATTTTTCCTAATTCGGTTAATCGAAAATCGAATCAAATTAAGCTTAACCAAATCGTTTAACCGAATGATTACCCCTAGTCATGCATTGTTGCACGACCGTGACAAAAAGCTTTTGCTCTCACTTTGTCATGAGTGTGCTTTTGTCACGATATATATATATATATATATATATATATATATATATATATATATATATATATATATATATATATATATATATATATATATATATATATATAATAAAACCCTAAAAGTTCAATCTATCACGACCACCTCGTTTCTTTACCTCTATTTTCTCCTTCTTTCCTTTCTTTTCTTATTCCCCCTCCCACTTTATCTCTTCATCCCTTTTCTTTTCCTTTGTTTTCAAATCCTCTCCATTCTCATCTTCTACCTTCCTTGTTCTTTAATGTCATTCTTTGGCTAATTTTGTTTAAGATTATAGGGAAGCTTCACCATGCCACCAAGAACAAAACCACCAATCAAAAGAAAGTCGATGGGTCAATCTGGAAAAGGGAAAGAGGCTGCTCTATTTGAACCACAACCCGACCTTATAGCTTAATTTGGTGCACCATTCCCAATCTACTCTTAGGAAGAAGGTAAGAAATTTCAATTTATTTGCAAGTGAGATATTATTAAGCTTAGATACTTTGATTTTGAGAGTTTAGAAAGATTGGGTATTAAGGAATCCATGGTTGATTTAAGCAAAAAGGTAGGATGGGAGAATTTCATTGCTTGTGACCTTAAAACTTATGAAAAGTTAACTTGGGAATTTTACACCACCTTGTCTTATGTGAAAATTTCACATCACTTTGATCTAGGTTGTTTGGTGAGTCTTATGAGGTTACTCTTGATCTTTTGAATCAAATTCTTAAGTTGCTTAAGGGACCAACCATTGAATCTTATAAAAATTTTAAAGGGTCATAATTTTGGAAAAAATTAATTGGCTTGGATACTTTCAATCCACCAAATGGTTTCGTTCGGGATGCTAGTGTCTTAATGCTTCATAAGTTTATTTTTCATATAATTTTTAGGAAGGTAGACGAGTAACAAATGCTCTCGAAAAGATTCATTTTTGTTATGGTGCATGCATAATAAAGTGAAATTCTTTGCATCTTATTTCATCTTCCTTGCTATTGTGGCTATTCGTTGGTAACCGTTGTAGAGCAATGGGAATGAGTTACATTATGACTACGTTAGCAACCCTTTTTTGCATTGATTTTTCCGGCCTAACCCCATTTGTCAAGGACTTTTTCGAGAAGATCACTTGAGGAGAGCGGAGATCCTTTCGGTTGGTGCTTTTAGTCTCCGAGATCTTTGTACTCGTATTTGTTTCAAGAATCGAAATGGTATCCCATAATTATCTTCAACGAGTTGAGGACTCCACCGACGATGTAGAGAATGATAATAAGGATAAAGGGTGGAGAATTATGCTTCAAAAGATAGAGGAGACAAATGCAATCTACGACACAAGAATAACCGCCATGGAAACTCAAATAGAGAACTTGGATAAATTTCAACGGTATCACCATAAAAAGATGCTCAAGTTCTTTGAGGCGAGCAACATTGACGTTCCTTCACCAACCCCATCACCTCCGGGTTCTCCATATCACTAGAGAAGTCTTCTCACCCTTATTTTATGTTGATTTTTTTGTTTTTTTTTCTGTCTTTTTGTTGTGTGTGTTCATTTTTCTTGTGTGATGTGTTTGCTATTAAGTTTGTTTGTTATTACTTTTCGTTGTGTGTGATTCGCATTGGGGGCAATGTGACCATTTAAGTGTGGGGAGGAGGATTTTGGATTTTGGATTTTATTTTTATAAGTGTTTACGTGCCTAACTTTTGGTTGTTTTTGTGTACTTGTGTGTGTTTGTTTATGCTTGTGCTCATATTGATTTTGCTAAAATTATGATGATAGTATGCAATTTGAATTAGAAGTGCTTAAATGGACTTTGTATTGTATCATCATATGAATGGAATGATTGGTTTAAAACAATGAGTATGTGCTTAATACTTTGAACATAAATTGGTATTCTGCTATTGCATGGACAAGTTAGCTTGAAAATCAATTTATCATCTTACCTTAGACATTATGGGACTCACTAAACTTGTTATTAAGTGGATTGAACATTTGAATTTTTGAGAAATCTTAGGAAAAACTTGGTATGAAATAAAATGCTTGAAAATGGTTAAGTCCATCTTGAGGTTGAACCTAAACAAGGACAAGTGCATGGTTGGCCCTACCACCTAGTAGGTGCATTTTGTGAGTAACCGGGGGCACTCATCACAAATGAGCGATCTTTCACGTAAAAGAAGGATCCACTTCTTGGTTGGCTATTAATAAGTGTTAAGCACATTGGGACCCCTAATTCATCGACTTGTTTGTAGCAACCAAAAATAGTAAGGACGAAAGTGAAAATAAAATGAAAAGTGCAACGAAATGGTGCAAGTTAAGTTATGCAAATCGAAAGCCAAGTTTGTCCTAATTTACTAATAATAAAAAAAGAACTATTTTGACTTAGTAATGGGGTAAGTGAGTTCTAAGTGTACTTGGTAAGATAAAAGACTTGATCGTCGTCAAGCTTCTTTAAATGCAACACCTTAAATACTAAGGTATGTGATAAGTAAGTCGTAGATACTTAGGGTTTTACATTACTCATTTTATGCACATGGTTGTATATTGCAACGTCTTGTGATTGCATCTTTGATTTGATTCTTGCCTCTATCCTGTGTTTTGATCTTACTTTGCTTAGGGACAAACAAGATTTTAAGTGTGGAAGAGTTGATATGAGCACTTTTAATGGGTTTTTATGTTTTTATGGTAGTAATGGTGCTTAGGAGTTACTTTATGTTTTAAATGGTCATTAGAATGTTTAATTTTTATTTTAAATGTTAAAGAAGTGGGTTGGGTCGTTACTCTCGTGTTTATGGTAATTATTACGGGTTGAGGACGTTTTAATCACAAAAAATATACTGGTCGCATAATACACGACCATGCAACGTTGCACAATTGCAACGAAGCAACTAGAACCGATTTATGCACGATCGTGCAATGGTGCATGGTCGTGCATGATGCGGTCAATAAACTTTTTATGATTAAAACGTCCTCGACTTGCAATAATTACCATAAATACAAAGAGTAACGGCCCAACCCACTTCTTTAACATTTAAAACAAAAATTAAACATTCTAATGATCATTTAAAACATAAAGCAACTCCTAGGCACAATTACTACCATAAAAACATACTTAAAGACTCATAAAAGTGCTCATATCAACTCCTCCACACTTAAAATCTTGCTTGCCCCCAAGTAAAGTAAGATCAAAACACAAGATAGAGGCAAGAATCAAATCAAAGATGCAATCACAAGACGTTGCAATATACAACCACGTGCACAAAATGAGTAGCGTAAAACCCTAAGTATCTACGACTTACTTATCACATACCTCGATATTCAAGTGTTGCATTTAAAGAAGCTCAACAATGATCAAGTCTTTTATCTTACCAAGTACACCTATAACTCACTCACCCCATTGCTAAGTCAAAACAATTCTTTTATATATATATATATATTAAATTAGGACAAACTTAGCTTTCGATTTGCATAACTTAATTTGCACCATTTCGTTGCACTTTTCATTTTATTTTCACTTTCTTCCTTACTATTTTTGGTCGCTACAAACAAGTCGATGAATTAGGGATCCCAATGTGTTTAGCACTTATTAATAGCCAACCTAGAGGTGGATCCTCCTTTTTACATGAAGATCACTCATTTGTGATGAATGCCCCGATTACTCACGGAATGCACCAACTAGGTGGTGAGGCCAACCATGCACTTGTCTTTGTTTAGGTTCCACCTCAAGATGGACTTAACCATTTTCAAACATTTCATTTCATACCAAGTTTGTCCTAATAGTTTCTCAAAAATTCAAATGTTCAATCCACTTAATAACAAGTTTAGTGAGTCCCACAATATATAAGGTAATATGAAAAATTGATTTTCAAGCTAACTTATCCATGCAACGATATAATACCAATTTACGTTTAAAGTATCAAGCACATTCTCATTGTTCTAAACCAATCATTCCATTCACATGATGATACAATACAAAGTCCATTCAAGCACTTCTAATTCAAACCGCACGCTATCACCGTAATTATAGCAAAATCAATATGAGCATAAGCACAAACAAACACACAAGCACACAAAAACAACCAAATGTAGGCACGTAAACACTTACAAAAATAAAATCCAAAATCTTCCTTCCCACACTTAAATGGTCACATTGCCTCCAATGTGAACCAAGACAACGAAAAGCAATAACAAACAAACTTAATAGCAAACACATCACATACGAAAAATGAACATACATAACAAAGAGACAACAAAAAAATCAACACAAAATAAGGGTGAGAAGGCTTCTCTAGTGATGTGGAGAACTCGGAGGCAATGGGGTTGGTGAAGGAATGTCAATGTTGCTCACCTCAAAGAACTTGAGCATCTTTTTATGGTGATACCGTTAAAATTTAGCCAAGTTCTCTATTTGAGTTTCCATGGCGGTCATTCTTGTGTCATAGATTGCATTTGTCTCCTCTATCTTTTGAAGCACAATTCTTCACCCTTTGTCCTTATCATCATTCTCCACATCGTCATTGGAGTCCTCAACTCGTTGAAGATAATTATGGGATACCATTTCGATTCTCGAAACAAGTACGAGTACAAGGATCTCGGAGACCAAAAACACCAACCGAAAGGATCTTCGCTCTCCTCAAGTGATCTTCTCAAAAAACTCCTTGACAAATAGGGTTAGGCCGGAAAAATCAATGCAAAAATGGGTTACTAACCTAGTCACAATGTAACCCATTCCCATTGCCCTACAACGCTTACCAACAATACCCACAATAGCATGGAAGATGAAATGAGATGCGGAGAGTTTTACTTTATTATGCATGCACCACAACAAAAATAAATCCTTTCTAGAGCATTTGTTGTTTTCTACCTTCCTAAAATTGTATGATAAATAAACTTATGAAGCATTAAGACACTAGCATCTTGAATGAAACCATTTGGTGCATTGTGTGGATTAAAAGTATCCAAGCCGGTTAATTTTTTCCAAAATTGTGACCCTTTAAAATTTTTATGAGATTCAATGGTTGGTCCCTCATGAAACTTAAGAATTTGATTCAAAAGATCAAGAGTAATCTCATAAGACTCACCAAACAACCTAAATCGAAGTGATGTCAAATTTTTAGAATCATAAGACAAGGTGGTGTCAAATTCTCAAGTTAACTTTTCATAAGTTTTAAGGTCAAAAGCAATGAAATTCTCCCATCCTACCTTTTTGCTCAAATCAACCATGGATTCCTTAATACCCAATCTTTCTAACAACTCAAAATCAAAGTATCTAGGCTTAATAATATCTCGCTTATGAACAAATTGAAATTTCTTACCTTCTTCCTCGAGTAAATTGTGAATGGTGCACCAAATTGAGCTACAAGGTCGGGTTGTGGTTCAAGTAGAGCCGCCTCTTTCCCTTTTCCGGATTGACCCTTCGGCTTCCTCTCGATGGGTGGTTTTGTTCTTGGTGGCATGGTGAAGCTTCCTTACAATCTTAAACAAAATTACCCAAAGAATGACATTAAAGAACAAGGAAGTTAGAAGATGAGCATGGAGAGGATTTGAAAACAAAGGAAAGGGAAAGGGATGAAGAGACAAAGTGGGAGGGGGAATAAGAAAAGAAAGCAAAGAAGTAGAAAATAGAGGTAAATAAACGAGGTGGCTGTGACAGATTGAACTTTTAGGGTTTTATATATATATCATGAAAAAAGCACGCTCGTGACAGAGTGAGAGCAAAATCTTTTTGTTACGGTCGTGCAACAATGCACGATCACGACCGAAACTTTTTCCAAAAGGATCGTGCAACACTCGCATGACCAAAACCATGACATTATGACAAGTCACTTAAGACCTATCCTTTTGGGCAATTGAGCGAACATAAAAGAAAACCATAAGACTAAGGGGAAGAGGCACAATTTTTTAGAGAGAAAAAGGATTGAAGAAAACAAGAAATAAGAGAAGAAGAAAGGGAGCCCAAGAATCAAGGAAGAAGATTAGAAGAATTCCATAGCAACATTCAAGAGTTCTTTCTTCCTTCATCTTTTATTCTTGTTTTATGACTCGATTTATTTTTAATGTGCTATTGTCAATCATGATGATGGATTGCTAAATTTTCATTAGGGATTAACTCTTGAAACATTCCTTTGATGTTAATCTTTTGGGTTTAATTTTAACTGTGTGATGTTTATTGTTCTTCATGCTCTAATTGCAATTAAGAAATTGAATTGGATGATTTGTGTTATGTTTCAATGAGAATTGTTGCATAATAGACTAGTAAACATCGGGCTAATTGATAATTATGGAGAGATCGTGATTTTTGATTAATTGCTTGAAAGATTACTTAAGCAATTGATTAAAGCGATTTGGGTTTGGGATTATTAGTTGAGAAACTATAATTTCGCTCATATTTTTTCAAATCGATAGTTAGTTGTTGCTTGAGAGAGAATAACTAACACCATTGGATATCTAGAGACTTAGTTATATTGAACCCATTAGAAAGACCGAGAGGGGATGTGGATGGTGTTAATTCCTAGCCTATTAAACCTTGATTAATTTCTTTGAGTAATTTCAATTCTTGTTTACGTTATTGAATTTTTATTTGATTTATATATATCATCTTTATCTTATTAATCTTAAACAAATCGAAACTAAGTCAATTGGTGGATAAAACATAGTCCTCGTGGGAATGATATCTTTTTATACTACTTGAGCGATCCGTGCTCTTGCGGAACCAACAAGGACGTTTCATCGGCTTATGTTAGGGCCAACTACAAGGAGATAGTGTAGTAAATATTAAGGAAAAAATTTTAAATATAATATTAGTTAGCTTCCTATTTAAGAAATTACTACAAAGACTTTCTAGTCTCTAAGGTGTGGAGTGAGAAAAACCCACCTAGTATGTTAGCAAGGCAATGCACTCGTGCAAGCTAATATTTGAGGAATTTCTTTTTAAAATGCTTGGAGATGGCTTTTAACTTTACATGACTCTAATTTAGGAAGTTCTTGGTAAAGCTTCGTATTTTTACGCCTAAAAAATTGTTGAATTGCCCTTTTTTTCCCACACTTGACGAGTTTAAAATCCAAACACTTTTCTTAAAAAAAAAATAATTTTTTGCAACATAGGGCGAGTATTAATCTAGTATTAAACCAAAGTAAACATATTGGTGTAATTTTGTAAAACCTATGGTCTTTTTGCTACCACACTCTCTAAACCATGTCAATATTTGCTGCATATTTCACATCAACCTCTTGTCCTCGTAACATAGAAATCCCCCATGAAAAATAAAACTTTTGGCTTTGAATGTTGCACCTTGAGAAAAATACTTGAACCATTGATTTGATGGTAAAGCGAGAAAAGGTAGGGAACACATTCAACTCTGCAGTTCAACGTATAGATCCGGACTAGTCATTTCTCGTGCCACGCTACGAGTCCAATGGAAAAAAATCATTTTAAAATTTTAAAAAAATTTAATTATAATTTTTAACATTTTTTTATAATTGTTTTTAAAAAAACATAAATCATTCTTTTTTATGGATTGTTTTTACAATAAAAAAAGGAAATAACTTTAAGTAAAATATTAATCAAAAATTAAAAAAACTTTAAAAATATAATTTTCATAATATTGTATTTCAAAAAATAAAGTTATAATTAATGGAAGACTTTCACAAAAATTAACAAAGGAAAAAAAAAGAACATAAATTGATGAAAAAAAACAAAGGAAAAAAAATCAAAGAAAAAAAAGAGCATGTGTAGTGTATGAGTTAGGCAATTAAAAGTTTTATTTTAAAATTTTAGAGATGAAAATAAAACAATCTGAAAATTTTAAAAATTAAATAAAAAAAAAGAACCTAGATTGATGGAAAAAAGCAAATGAAAAAAAAAAGAAAAAAAAACATGTATAGTGAAACAACTTGAAATCAATTTTTTTTTTAATGTTTCTTTATAAATTTCTGTTTAAAAAACATGAATTGTTTTTTTTTATGGATTGATTTTAAAATAAAAATGTAATAATTTTAACTTTAAAAATATAATTTTCATAATATTGTATTCCAAAAAATAAAGTTATAATTAATGGACGAGACTTTTATAAAAAGCAACAAATGAAAAAAAAACACATAAATTGATGGAAAAAGGTAAAGGAGAAAAAAAGACATGTGTAGTGCATCACCTAGGGGACTAAAATTTTTATTTTAAAATTTTAGAGACCAAAATGAAATAACTCGAAAATTAAATTTTAAAAAAAGAACCTAGGTTGATGGGAAAAGAAAAAGAAAAAACATGTATAGTGAAACAACTTCAAAAAAAAAAAAAAAAAAAGAACAACCTTGCTATAGGAATGAATAGTGATTGGTAAGTTAAGGAAAAAATATTTATTACGACGACAAAAATCAAATATAATAAAATTTTTAATGACCAATATAAAAGAAAAATTACAAAACGGGGGCTAAAATAAAATAAAAGCCAAAAGAGAGGCTTAGCTATGGCAAAAGGGAAAAAAAGAAATAACTTACCAAAAAAAATACTAAAAGCCAAGAAAAAAATATTTATTATGAGGACAAAAATCAAATATAATAAAATTCTAATGACCAAAATAAAAAAAAAATATTACAAAACAAGGAGTAAAATAAAAATAAAAGCCAAAGAGAGACCTAGTCATGGTAAGAGGAAAAAAAAAAAAAAAGAGTGCTACAGAAATGAGTAGTGTTATGTGAGGGGATGAACAGTGATTACCATTGTTCAAAACCTCCACACCTATAAGGATAAAAAATCAAATATAGTAAACTTCTAATGACCAAAATAATATATATATTATAAAATAAGAATTAAAATAAAAATAAAAACCAAAAGAGAGGCCTAACCACAGCAAGAGAAAAAAAAATGCTGCAAGAACAAATAATCTTATGTGAAGGGATGAAGTGATTGCCATTGTTCAAAATCTCCACCCTTTTTAGTTTATAGTAATAATGTGCGGACGGCAAACATTTGTTTGTCCAAGAAGGTCCATTCGAGAGACAACCTTTCTTAGTTACCATTCACAGGAACGCTAAAAAACAAAAACGAGGTAATTTCCTTCAGTCCTTGCGTCACACAATCAAGATGATCGGCAATATCTGGAAAAATAAGGTACAGAACTATCATTTCCCTTTCCAATTTTCACGGCTCTTGTATTATTTTTCTTCCCTGCCATACCCGTGTTAAGTTCACTAAAGGCCCTTTTTCTCTGCAGTGTATCTGTTGATCGGACACTCAACAACACCTTTTTGGGGACGTCACTTGGTTCTTTGTTCTACTTGCTACGGAAGACCGTACACTGGGCATCACCTGAGTTTTATTTATTTATTTTTATTCGGGGAAGAAGGGCGGCGTCATGTATACTTTCCAGATTCTGATATGTTGCTTGGGTTAGATGTATTTCCATGTCAGCAGCCATTTTTTAACGCTATATTTCTTGCTGAAATTGACAAATAACTCTGATGCCTAATCATCCCGAAACCGTCCATGGGACAATTTAGCTCAACAAATCGCTACCGATCAAAGGATAACTCTTCAAATTGTTACTCCAATTGAAGAGATCAGCAGTCATCACAGATGATAACGATGTAAGAACATGATGATAACGATGTAAGAACATCAAAGTTACTTTCATATACAAAAGACAACTAAAATATTCGGTACATACATGCGCCACATTCACTCAGACTTCAATTTTACTTCTCTCATCCATCCATAAAGTTCAACAGCTGCTCACAATGGTCATCAACCCATTCAGGATTGGAGAATTCTTGCTACCCTGCAGTAACCGAACAAAAGCATGCATTGTTGTTGATAAATGGTGATTATCAATCTCGGTGATGTTAGTTTTGTTGAATGCAAAGTAGCCGCATGTTTCAAAGGGTCATACGAAGCATGTTTTCTGGGGAAAAATACATGTATGAACACAAATGTCATAAACTTCAATGTATTTTTGAGCCGTGTGACAGAACATTATTCCTGGTACAGAAAGAAAGGATAAGGCTGAACTGAAGCATGCAAACTGAACAAATCACACCTTGCTTGCTTCCTCAACCAGCAGGCATTAACACCTTTTGGTCACAGCAAAAAAATCTTCGATCAACTTCAATAGCATAGTGACCTTCATCGTACACTGCTGTAAACCAATAAGCCCAAAGAATTGTAAAGAAAAAAGAATCCAATAATTTATCTAGTACACTGGGGAAAGCAGGGGACATGCAGTTCTTATTTTCATGTTCTGTAAACATCAAACCCCTTTTACTCGCACACAAGCACAGGTGTGGGGGAGAAGCAAGGGAGTTAAGGGAGATTCCTCCAAACCTGCATGCACCCTTTTGCAAGGAAAAGGAATCTAGGATAAAGAAAGAGAGCAAGTCAGAGCAGGCTAACAATCTGAGGATGGAGATACTGACGGAGTAAAAATAAAGGAGCAAGAGGGTAAACCTTTCCACAAATTCTATTCAGGCAAAGGACATACCAGCTGAACATCCAATCAAAAGGACTTGAGAAACATGGTGGCTGTAGTCAAGGGTAGCTGGTAAACTCAGAAGTTTACAAGGATCAAAATCAAATGAAACGAGTAGACAAACAAAACATGTATACAAGAATAATTGAAACAATTTATACTCTTCAAGCAAAGTTCACCAGTTACATGACAAATCTTTTTAAGTCGGATCAAATAAGAGCCAAATGCTATAACTGCTTAAACACCACTTTTTTTATTCTTGCACTAGCTAGAAAATGCATCAATAAACCCAACCAGAAAAACGTAACAAGGAAAGGTTATCATGTGTTGAATTTAAACAGCAGAAAGCTGACTATGAATTGTAAATGAAGGCAACCACACAAATAAAGTCTTGGCTTTTTATGAGAGCATAAAAAGAGTCAATGAAGCAGTAGAATCAACTGAATGTTCAGGAAACTTTTAATTTGGATCAAAAGAAGCAAATAAAAAACAGGCAAGTTATCAAACAAATAAGAGCTCAAGTACCTTGCAGGCTGCCAGAAAGATCAGAGCCCCGATCCACTGTCTTACATCAGTTATCTCTTGCAAACAAAGTTTGAATATTCAAGAAAAAGAGTGAATAACAGTTTTAACTTTAAACGAAAAAGATATGTAAAAAAAAAAAAAAAAAGATCTAATCATTTAACTTCGTTGAGAAATATATACACTCATTCTGAACTCAAGCTAAGAACACAAAAAAATCAAAGACAGAAAAAAGGTCAATATTCAGGACCTTGTGGGTCACGGAGACTAGAGGATCATTACAAAGAAGGATGTAAATCCCAGAGGACGATATGCACCAATAAATGCCAGATAACACCTGGTACTGCCTTCCTTCACTGCTCCTCCTGGAATCTAGGCACTTCATTGTTCTTTGATTAAGCCTAAGGAGTCAAAGTACAAGTTGAGAAAAAGCTACAAAACAAGAAGCCCTATTCTGGGAAATAGGGCAGAAAAGGCAAGAGGTTCAGGAAAATTTTCTCATTTGTGTACTGCTGCTAGTCATCCAGTCTGATCAGCTACCTTTTCTTTGCAAACTGAGGGGGAAAGTAGGCATGAATTCTTTTGATTTTGGTAGAGGAACCTCCTGAAACCAAGGATGATTAAGTGCATCATCTGCTGTTATTCTCTGCATTAGCAATAACCAACACCAATTAGTATAATAATCATATATTTTAAAACCATGAGGCAGTAACAAAAGCCAACTTGGAACACATGCACTACAATTACCTTCTCTGGGTCATAAGTTAAGAGTTTGTTTAACAAGTCAAATCCTGAGTCAGAGAGAACTGGAGATCCTGTGAAAGGTGTGAAAGGAAACTTCTTTCTTAACTGATTATACCTGAAAAAGAAAGCACTATCTATAAGATGTGTGGTCTAATAGCTTTCAGATACTTCGAGGAAACAAAATAACAAAAAATAATAGACAGGATAGACAAAACAGATACTTACGGTTGCTTAACAAAATTTGCTTTTGCCCCTGGCAATTTCGATAATCCAGGCCAAATCATCTCATTAGGAGTTCCTAAAGTTCTGAAGATCTGCAATCATTTTCTTCAATTCAGAGAAGAACTACAAAAAATAGATCTTGAAAAAACTAAAACCACACGTATAAAGTACCAGAGCAGGAGTTGATAAATACCTTGTCAAGCTGATCAATTTCACGTTTCCCTGTGAATAGAGGTTCCTTCGTCAACATTTCAGCCATTATGCAACCCACAGACCACATGTCAACTGCTGTTGAATATTGCTTTGCTCCAAGCAGAAGTTCAGGTGCCCTGCAATGTAAAAGTAACACTAGATGAGTTTAATAATTCTAGAATCCTGATCCAGAAAATTACAAGACATCACTTCAAAACACAAAATAAATTAAGCATGTAAAATGCAGCTTACCTGTACCACAAAGTAACCACAAGAGAGGTATATGGCTTCCATGGGCTACCATACTGGCGTGACATCCCAAAATCACATACCTTCAACTCCCCCTGGTTGTTGAGAAGAAGGTTTGATGTCTTCAAATCCCTGTGAAGCACCCAATTATCATGAAGATACTTAACACCTTGCAAAAGCTGTAGCATTAAGCATTTGACTTCACTTGTACTGAAAGGCTGCTTAATCGCTTGCATCAGCCCCTTGAGATCATGTTCCATGTACTCCATCACCATGAAAACACTATCAAGGTCCCCCATAACAACTTCTTTAACTTTCACAATTGAAGGGTGATCAAAAGACATAAGAATGTTAATCTCTCTCAAAGATGTCAAGGGAAAACCATATTCCTCCAAGTATTTGTCTCTTCCAACATCCATCTTCACTTTCTTCAACGCCACAAATTCTCCAGTCTTCTTATCCTTGGCTTTGTACACTTTGCCATAGGTTCCTTCATTAATTTCATTGAGTCTTTCATACTCGAACACACTTCTACAACCCTCTAGCATACTAAACCCCATTTGGGTGGTAGCCGTGGGCTCTTCGATCTCACCAAAGGTTTCTTCAATCTCATCAACACTGGCATTTTCATCCCCTCTGTCATCAACATCCATGACATCATTTTGCAATTCGTACCCAGAAGTAGAGCTGATGCTGTAACCTCTTTCATCTGATAAAGATGAACTTGACCTCTCTCTCTCTGCCACTTCTCTCTGGCACGTCTCTCCATCAATGGAATTTGTCCTGAACACAGTTTCTCCATGTATGCCTTCGCCGTCAACCAAAGTGGTATCTCTTGGAGAATCATCATCAGATGCCCACCGGGACATGGCTATATTCCGTGCTTCAGGAACCTCTTCCTCCTCCACTTGGCCCTGCTCTTGGTCATAACCCCCATCTTTCTTTAACAGCAATGGAGGAGACAAAGGAGCTGGATATTCAGATCCAATACTATCAACTGACCCTCGATCCACCCAATTCTTATCTACCACAAGCTCCAATCCTCCTTTGACAGGATTTTTCACAACATCCTCATCTGAAACAACATTTAAACCCTGAGTACTGCTCCTTTGAACAATCCTATTCTTTGAAGAAATCCTCACTTCTTTCTCCTCTACATCCCATACAATAGGAGAAAACCTCCTCTTCTTCTCTGGAGGCAACTGAACCCCATCTTCATTCCCTGGTATCTCACCCTCCTCGTACCTTGGGGAACCACCAAAGGTATTAAATTGCCACAACTCCCCTGACTGTCGCTCGTCATCTCTACAACTAAACCCACTTCTTCTAAAATCAAAACTAGACACACTTGTTGAACTATGATACCCATTTTTCCTTACCAGATCACCACCCCTTCTCCTTGACACATCGAGCCGCCCTGCCGCCATATTATTAACAACCACAACACAACTCTTCTCAATAAAAAAACACAAGGAAACAAACAAAACAGCAACTTCTTTCACAGATATCCAAACACAAACCCTAATTCAATTTCTTTTTTTCTTTAAACAAAACCTTAGGATACAAAATCTATTAAGCAATCAAACAAGTATACGGACAATTTGCAAACAATTTAACAAAATTAATTGGAAAATTGAATTTGATTGGAGAAAATCACAAATCGAAACCCTAGATCGTGATTTTCTTTTTTCGGTTTTGACGGTCTCTCCTTGAGTAAACACGGGAAATCAAAGATCTTACCGGAAAGAGAGACAGAGGCAAAAGCCGCGTTGTTCGGAACCGGAGAAGAGGGTTGAGAAAAAGAAGACAATCGAAACCAAGTTTACGCGTTATTTTGCAGTGATGGTGGTTTTGACCTGCATACGGGATTGGTATATTTATATGGTTTTGAGTCGGTTGCGACTCGTTTTCTTTCTTTTTTAGTGGACGACTGGACGGTGGGGATTCCTCTCTCTTTCCTTTTTACGTTTTTTATGTTTTAGTCCCTGAGAATCTTTTATATATTTATATTTTTAGCATCCTGCTTTTGCCTTCTATTATTTTGAGCCACTTGAGCAATTAAATTTTATTTTATTTTTTACTCGATCTTATTAAGCAAAAGTTAAAACATAATTTTGTATGTGCCGCTGTATATTTTTGAAGTTCTCATAGCGATCATTTTCTGATTTCCAAAAATTAAGTTAATTGAGTTTATATATTAGAACATGTTTTAAATAAAAATATTTTTATATAATTATAAGGAAAAATTATTATGTAAATAAAAAATACTTTAGTTGAATTGAATATTTTAAGTTTCATACTAAAAATAAAATGTTTCAAAAATCTAATTTTAAAATTATAATTAATTTATATGTATTGAAATTCAAGAATAATTTAACGAGATTGAAGATCAATTTGTTTTTTAACAATGTTTTATAGATTTGTTTCTTATTTTGCATAGTTATTTCTCTTTTTACTATATTATCTTATTGAAAAACCATTGACAAAACTCCTCCATTAAAAACGCATTTATTAATACTAATATCCTTATAAAAAAAACTAGTTAAAAAACAAAGGAAGAAACTTGAATTAACAAACAAAGCAAATAGCGTCTTATAAAACTAGAATTACTTAAGAGAAATGAACCCAAATAACTCTCCCACAAGAAATGAGAGATGCTTTATCTTTGAATGAAAGACATGGTGGGAGACGTAGGAATCAGCCTTTCAAACCACCATCCATCTAGCATCCTTAACAAAACCGTTTTAATTATATCCATTTATATATAGATTCTTAGACTCGTAAAAATTTATCAAGCTTTATGTAACAACATAAGTACATAATTGACAATCACATGAACCCTAATGATAGGAAGAAAGATGACATGACTATCAAATTAAGCACGAGATTGTATTATGAGAGCTTTCGAGGATAACGAGTTAAGCGAGATGGTGAAAATTTCACATGTGATTATTCGTGCAAATAAATTTATTATGACGAATGCAATAATTGACATTGCATTAACAACTCTTATTGTTCCTTTAATCCAATTCTTGAATGGTGAAGACAAGGTCTCGGTTTGGACTCTTTAGTAGTCATTAAGACCATGCTTTAGTTTGGAATTAATTATGAAAACATGGATAAGTTAAAGTTTATGTCTCTTTACTCCTATCAAATATATATTCTTTATGACTTTAATTTAAATTTTATCAACCTTTATTATCAATTGTTTGTGATGAGTTTGAAAAACTTGCACAATAATATAATGATGACGTGGTCTTTTGTGGTTAAATGAACGAGTAAAAGTTATTTATGGATGATGATATTATCTCGCTCAAAAAATGCATAAAACAAGTTTTTCGATTGATTGAAGGATCTTTCAATAACTAAATAAGAGTACAAAGAGAGGGGATGCCTAAAGAGACGATGATGTGTTTTTATGAATATAAAAAATATTATAAATATTAGTATTGGTTGAGAGAATAGAGTTCAAATCTGGAATCCTTAGTCCTCGGGGTTCTTATATAAATGAAATTTTGGTCAAGTTATATGAAGAAAAAGGTAGGATGGTTCATTCTTTTATTGCCAATAATCTATAACACCAATTTAGGGACAAATGTTCTTTTTTTATGATTGCTCAATGTTGGACGACATTTATATCATCATGGTTGATGTTGATTGGACAAGGATAATGTAGTAAGCATGTCTTTATTAAATTAATATATATTTTTTATTTTGCTAGTAGGGGAAACGATATCTTTATTGTCCGGATTAAGCATTAGAGATAATATCATGGGTTATCTCTTGCCTCGGACATCATTGGGAAATGATTGACGATCATTGTCATCTAAGGGTAGAAACTTTGGTTAGAGTAAGAAAGGTATGAGATGATATATGTCATCTAGGTATATTAGTAGTTCTCTCGAGTCTTAGCGCATGAATAAAACTGTTATGGCATGACTAAGCTCATAGAGAAACATCGACATCACTCGGGATGGCAAAAAATTTGTTTTACTTGTCTTTTTTTTTTTTTTTGGTTGGTGGAGATGAGGATCATTTAATGCTTGTTGTTTCGGTAATTGTGTTGCTTTATAGGGAAGATCAAATGCTCACACATGAGAGACTTTGAAGGACATGAAGAGGTTAAATCTTTTGGAGTTTTCAATACCTATTGATTTGTGTCCACATTTTTTGGCATGTAAAACTCATTGTTGCTTGTGATTAGGTCATGTTGAATTGTGCTTGCCACTTAGGCTTCAACTTTTGAATAATTAATTATAAGGACTTGTGCTTCTAAACTTATACATAGTTGAAGAGTCATTTTTTCCCTTAATTTTGCTTGTTCTTTCCATTTTTCTTTCTCTTCATTTTTCTAAGTAGTTCCTAGAAAAATTATATGTGTTGTTTATAAGCTTTTTAGATGACCTTATTTTTTTAAGGAAAAAAATAGTTGTGAGGGAGATCATCAAACTTCTTTTTATGTCAATTGTCATTTGGAATGGAGATTTTGCCAACGAGGGCATTTTTCAACAATTTTCTAACTTTTTTTATAATTGGCCATTTTCTTAATAGGCAACCTTCAAACTCTATACTTTCTTTTTGTAAGAAATGGTAGGTTTAAATAAGGTTAGGAGTGATTTTGGAGCTATTCTTAACTAGAACTCTTTGCAAAAGAGACTAGCCCATTTGTGAAAAGGCTAGTTTCTCAAGAGGTTATGCGGGTGCCTCGTTTTTTTTTTAATGCTCGGTAAGTCTTCTAATACGATGTCCATTAATAGATTGATTGCTTATAATTGTTGTATGATATAGAAATATCTTGTGATCATTTTCAACTAACGTGACATAATTAGTCAACTTTTAGCTAGGGCTTTGAAAGAAAATGGAGAGATAATTTGTCTTATGAGCATGTTTGTTTATGGTTGTCGTATTTTTTTGTCCGGATTTATAGGAATGTGCTCCAGCATTATAGCTTATGTGTGAGCAAACTTCACATTAATGGTTGAATTGTTCGATTACATTTAGAATTTTTTAAAAAAAATTAACATCTTTTTGAACCTTAAGCTCTTTAGGTGTTTTTACCTTTTAGCTAGGAATTCAAGAGAAAAGAGAAGATTAGTGAGGTTCTATATTTTTTTGAATAAAAAGTCAAACCCATTAAAAGATATGTTAGTGGGCAATCCTTATACGGAAGACTAGAGGGAGGAATGATTTGTGGTAAAGTATAAAAGGTACATTCTTTACTAGCAAATCTCAAGAGGTATTAGGGTGAGCCTCTTTTTAAAGAATACCTCAATGTAACTTTAACATTGTTCCTTTATGATCTCCTTCTAATCGAGACTTTTGGGAGAGGGTGAGGCATATAGACTATTTATATTGAGTCAATGTTCTAGCTAAATGGTCTTCTTTGACCCAAAACTTGACGGATAGATAGGCTAGGATCATATTATTGTTGTTTTTTGTATTCATACCGAGTGTGTGAGAAGGAGGCTGATATAAAGAATTTTGAGGTAGAGTTCATAGTTCCTTATGAAAAAGAGTATTAGCCTGGATATTGACACTTGGTCATATGTTTTTTTCAAAAATTATTCGACCCTTATAGAGGTATCTTATCACTTATCCCGAAAGGATCTTCTCAAACTCCTTTCCTATCTTTTTCATCCATCCTAAGAAGGATTATTAACAAAACGAGAAGCATGGTCTAAGTAGAGGTAGAGCTCGCCTACTTAAAAAGGCAAAAGCTTTGGTTTAGTGCCCTTAATATAGAAGGTATCCCTATGCGTCCTAAGAAGAGGCAACATATCCTTTCCTTTAAAGTTCAACCTCTAGATAAAAAAGTTATGATACCGATTGCTATATTGGATAGTAAGGCCTCCATCCTAACTAGCAAGGCCCTTCAAGTCACAAGGCACTCCAAAAAAAAAAAAGTTAGTGAAGTTTTAATTAATGAGTCGGGCATTAGTTTCACCCATGCTCTATAACTTTTTTTTCCATGAAGGAGCGAGCTTTGCCTAAGAAATGAGCTATTTGGAGATACTATCACTCGTAAAGAGGAAGAAAGATGAGGTCTTCTTATGTGCTTGAGGATGTGGAGTCTCTTTATCCAAACGAGATGAAGAAAGGTTTCAATAGTGAAATAAAAGTCCGGTTTTTTGCTATGCTATATTTTTATGTCTACTCGAGTGAATTTATTTTATAGGAATGGAATAGTAGAGTAATTTGAAATTTAGACCGACCCAAGATCAATACCCATACTTAAAGGAAAAAAGTAGGAGAGATTGGAATTTTGGCTAATCATTAACAAACATAACCTATATCTATAAATAGGTGAGTTTCTAAAGATTAATAGCTTTTATTGACATGAATAGTAAGTCATCGACAACTTCATCCATATAAGTGGAAAGCCACCATAGACTTTGAATTTTGGGTTTAAAAAGTTATTGATAACTTTGTCACATAAGTGAAAAGCCGATGATAGCTTCAATTAGCTCGAGCAAGGAGCGAGATAATAGGTTTGAAAGCCACTAACAACTTCATCATATTAGTGAAAAGCCATTGGTAACTTCCTTTCGGACAAAAAAATAGTTAAATTGATGTAAAAACTACGGGCAATTTCGATCATATAAGTGGGAAACCACTAGCAGACTTCGAACTATATAACAATAAAAATCATTTAAAGAAGGTTTGAAAGCCATTGGCGAGCTTCGTCCATGTAAATGGGAAGCCACCACTAGTTTTCTTTCATTCACATATAAAGCGAGATAATCACACCATTCATGACAAACACATGTATCATATTTAAACATTAACATCGAGACTAACATTTGTTTGAAATTCACTATTGAAATTAAAAACCAAGCTCATCCTCTCAACTTCATCGCAAAGCATTGAATAATCTGCCTTATTTCACCTCAACAATACTCGTGGTCTCGACCTCTCCAAGTTTAATACACAACGATGTATCCGATCACATTCCAAATTTCAAACACAACCGACATGCTTTTTTTTTTTTTGTATTTTTTTGGTTTTATTAAGACATATCTTTCATATTACTTTAATAAAAAAAAATTTAATGGGTACAAATATTATTAGAAGTTATCCCAAATGATAGTTGAAAAATGTTGAATTTATTTGAGTACTACTTGGGATCAGTTCTCCTTTTTTCAACCCGCTCAAAACTAATTATTCAATTAGTTAATGAGGTAAAGTAGTTGCATGTTGAAGCATTGAAGATGTTATTGTGAAATGACCAAAATACACCTAGTTAGATGTGAAATGACCAAAATATTTCTAAATGTGAAATGATCGAAATGAACTTGGTCATATGTGAAATGATCAAAATGCCCTTAGAGATGAAATGACTACAATGCCCTCGAATGTAAAATTATGAAACTCCCTCCGATAACCCAACCATGACTCGTCACTTGCTTTGACCATTTTTTGATGGTCCTTCGAGGGTGTGGACTAGCCCACGTGATGGAGGAGGTCCTACTCTATCGTTCTTAAGTGGTGGCAGCTTGTCACCATCGATGTAGGAGGGAGATTAACACCGATGAAGTTTTAATCAAATCTCCCTCTCTTTTTGATGAAGGTTTCGATGAGATTATGAGGTTTTAAGGACACCAATCGATTTAAGAGATCGTGAGGAGTGTTTCTACGATGGTTAAAAAGTCTAATTTGGCTTTGCTTGGTTGATTTGGCTTGGTTACAACAAACGGGTAGGGAAACGAGTTACCATCAATTCAACCATTTTCCCGATGATATTAGGCCATGATTTTTAGGGAAAACACCTTTTAAGAGGTTGGAGAACACTTATATGATGGTGTTAGCTAGTGGTTTGGCCAGCGATTAGGAGATTCAATCGGTTTGCCAAACGAGCTCGGGTCGTCATGGTTCTCTCCTTGATTCCGGCCAACTTTAGCATGGTGTTCCTCTTTAATCGGTTAGGAATAGGGGATCGAAGGTTGGTCTATCAACCGATGGTGGTGGTCGAAGGCAATATCGACCAAAGGATGGTTGATTTAGGAGAAAAAATTCGATAAATCTAACGGGTCAACCTACGAGTTGATCGGTTTGGTCTTTTTCTTGGGGGTTATTCGGTTTTTTTTTAATTTTAATTTTTTTTGTTGGTCCATGTCTAATTTAAATGGCTGAAGGGGTTGGCTATTTATAGAAAAAAAAATTAAAGTTTTGGGTAACCATTAATTTTGGTCATTGGTTTCTCCTAATTTTTAATTTTAGTGTTGATTTGTTTGGTTTTTTCTCAATAGTACCCTTCCTCTCTTTCAATTAAAATCTTAAGTCTTAATCCTTTTAATTGCACCTTCATTTGGATTTTTTTTTTATCCTTAAACTTCGTATTTTTTATTGAACCCTTAAATTATTTTTTAAAAATAATTTTTTTTATATTTTTTAACTCACAAATTTAAAAATTAGAAAGGGGGAAAAATTAAATGTTAGTAAACCCGAGAGTTTTGAGACCCTATGATATATTAAGGTGAAATAAAGATGGATTCACTATTTTGCATTGAAGTTGGCGAGGATGAGATTGAGATTTAATTTTAAGAATTATACATAATTAGTGTCGATCTTGGTGTGACTTTGATTATGAGGTTATTTTAATGTGATTGAGTTATGAATTGATTGCTAATATGATACTTAGTAAATAACAATGCTAAATAATTGATTTTTAAATTGTAATGTTTATGTAAAATGACTTGTGATGTCGTACTCACCTTGCTTTTTGTTTGTTGATGAATGATTTATAAAAAAATGATTTGTGACTCTTTTATCGACATGCTTTTCATTCGTTCATTAATGATTTATGCTAAATGATTTTATGAGTTTGTTATTGGTTGATTTTCTTTCATGGTCAAAAGATTTATGTTAATGATCTCGTGAGATTGTTGGTTGATTTTTATTCATTGATAAATGATTCAAATTAAGTGATCTTGTAAGGCTACTTTCGGACGATCTTTATCGCATAAAAATGATTGTTGTATAAAATGATTTTGGTTGTAGTTTTCAAGTTGATTTTTTATCAATGAAAGTTATGACAATAATTTGTGTTGACGTCTTTAACTTGATTTTTTTGGCAAAGTATTTTGTGAAAATAATTTGTGTTAACATATTCGATTTGATTTTTTGATCAATGAGTCTTATAAAAATGATTTGAGTTTATGTCTTTAACTTAATATTTTTGTCAACAAGTTTTACAAAAATGATTTGTGTTGTCGTGTTCAATTTGATTCATCATTAATGATTTTATAATTTTGCATACCAAATGATGGTTTGCTTCTCACTTATGATTTGAGTGGTGATTTTATGATTCTATGATTTGAGATGCTCGAATGACGGCTTATATCCAACTTATTATTTGAGTGGAGGTGTTTTTCTGAAAATTGTTGCATTTGTGATAAGCAAAATGATAACTCCTTTCTCACTTATGATTTGAGTGGAAGAGGTTTTATAACTTTTTTGCATTTGTGATGTCAAAAGATGGCTTGTTTCCCACATTTTATTTGAATAGATGTTTTATGATTTGTAAAAACAATTAGATTTATCTCATTTTTACTTCTTTTTTTTTTGGGTTTAATACTCGATTTATTTCAAAGTGAGGAAAATGTCTTTTACTAAAACCAAATCACGAATCACCAAAATTTTATATTTGATTTTTTTTTTTGACGATAAAAACATCAAAATATGCATAAATAATTCAACATAATAAAGTAAAAGATCTTGCCCGCCCAACTACCATAAAAGAGGTACCTAATGTTAAGAAAGCCTCAATCAACTATCTTTGACAATCGCCCAATCACTACAACTTTAAGTTAAATTGGATCAATTTACATGTAATATGGCAAAAAAACTAAAAAAAATCTCAAATGCATACCATGAGAGTTGTTCTAAGAAATTCTAATCATGGCCTTTCAAAGCACGGTAACACACAATCTCTCGTTCATTTTGCACCATCATGCTAGTCATAGAGGTTCTTCATCTAGCATTAAATGCAATCCAAACATTCAGCCATTATGTGTAGTTATTATGAAATTCTCAAGAAGACCAAAGTTATTATGAATGACTCACTTAAACGATTATGCATCGATTGCGGGTCAATAGTCGA